TAAGTGATTTACACCATTAGTAAAGTTATTAATTGTCACTTCTATCTCCATTAAATCACCCAAAGATTTGCCAATCTTGTGTAGCATGCAGGTTGGTAAAACATTAACAGTTACTCCATTATCCACTAAAACTCAATTTATTGGCATACCATCCAGATGTGTGTGAATATATAATAGCCTTATATGTCTAGCCATCCTCTCTTCTGGCTTCTCAAAAATGATGTTGTTAGTTGAAACCCCACCTTCCTCTTCTTTAGCTAGGATTTCAATGATCCCCTTTACCTCAATCTAATTTGTCTACTAACAAACTATAAATTATGTCTGTCATTTGGCTTGAAAAACTAGAGGAAGAGTAAGCACCAAACAAGAATAATTCACAAAAAACTCATCAAATTGAATTACATTCAATGAACTTTCCACTTTATTTGACACAACAAACATCGCCTTCAAACCAGCTTCTTCACTTGCTTCCACAGTTAGAGCTTAAGGTGAAGTTGGACTTTTGGGTGGTTCTTTCCTTTCTGGAGAAGTCTGATAAGATATGCTTTCTTTATCTCTATGAACCCACACTGATTTTCTCCTCACTAGGAGTGATAAAGTCTGATTTGCCATGCACCTCGAGCTTTCAATCTACTGTTAGTGTCTTTCTATTGCCCTTTTGCGTTGTAAGTGTAGTCTTAAAGTTCTAGGATTTTGAACCTTGGGAAACTTTGGGAAAAGCACACATTCCCACCGCCTATTAGGAAATTTGAGCGGAAGTTTCACCATTCTGGGCTTTTCTGCATGCTTAAATAGCACAGTTTCCTGATCTAAGCTAATTTTCTTCTATGTTGGGCCATGCCCCCCGTGCCTTCTCCTTCGTGGTAAGTCTGATTTAGTCCAATTTTTGCAGTTCTTTGCATCTTTAATGACCTACCTCATATCATCAGTTGCAAATCTGCACCTGGAATATGGTTAATTTTTGTCCTTAGTAATACTCTTGAGATTTGCTGCATTCACCCCTACAGACATACTAGGAAATGGATCTGCATCAACTCCTATAGTTTCTTTGGTCTTTTTTTGGAAAATGTAAAATTCCTTTGTTGATTTTGTCCTACAAAACATTCTAAAAATAATACAATCATTAGTAAAAATGTTTCCAAGAATTATGATACTTACAATACTCTTTACTTCCAATTTCACCAGCCATTGGGATTTTATGCCCTGGCAACAACTTAATTAGACCACTCTTTCTAAAGTGGTCAAAACTTTCACTAGTCTTTGAAATGTCAAAAGTGTATTGCTTTTCAGCCTCACCAACGTAACGTTTCACTATCTTGTCAACCTATTAGACCACTTTGATCAGATTTGGGCAAGCAACAAGCTTGTCTGCCACCACTTCTACCACATCCAAATCAAAGTTGGCGTTTCCATAGTAAGTCCCATGAGATGCAGATTTCCTTTGTGTGTCTTCCCATAGCAAGATTTCATAGTGGGTAACTTTATAAGACAACTTAAGAAATCATAAAACTCTATTCCCCCAAACTTCTTCCTTTGCTCAATGTCAAGACCATTTTGTGCCAGCTTAACAAACTCCTATTCTGGCAAGGTAACTCTACACTTAAGTCTAGCCTTCTGAAATTTGGCATTCCAAAATGTAGGGAGGAAGGCCTTATATGTTTCTTCAGGTCGTTGCACCAAACAAGATAAGTCTACCATGGACATTTCTAGCTCACTGTGATAAAACTGGATATGGAAAAGATTTTCCATCTGCATCCAAGAATAAACTGAATTCTATGGTAGACTTAGATACCAGGTGAGAGCTGTACTAATCAAAGAACTTGGAAAAAGTCTGAACTTTCAATTATCATCGTTGGAGGCCTCGCCACATTGAATTGTGAAGCAACCTATGTGTTCAATTATAAAATGTCCACCATCTCTAGAAAATAATGTAAATTCTAAAACCTTAAATCCCCTTGGGAAAGGATTCTCTTGATTTATAAAATCTGGATATGGTTTTTTATAAATTGATCTGACCAAAGCCCTTGAAACTAGACCATAAGCCTCTTGCACCAAGTCAATGATCTAATATGGTTGATGTACTAGCCTAGTAGACCTTGATGATTTTGTTGCACTGATGGCACATAAGGTTGAAAGTGCTCCCTTTGTGGAGGTGCAATATGCGATGGATGACCTCCATTTGGTCAACATTGAGGTGGCAAATATCTAAGCTACTAAGGATTGCACATTTCTGCCACACATGGTGTGACCGTAACTTGGTCTGGCTACACTAGTTCGTTTACTACATGTTGAATTTGAAGGGGTGGTTGTGGCAGATTAACTTGCCCTTCGAGTGTTATAGCTGGAACATTCTAGTTCTGGCTTTAAGGATCTATTGCTTGTGGCTAAGCTTCAATTCTTACAAGTCAAAATGCTTCATGTATCCATTCTATTTTAGCTAGAAAAGCTCTCCAATTTTTTATAATTTACTTTTACCAAACTTTTGCACTCTTCTCAATAGAACGCCATATGTTAGCTACAACTTGGCCCAAATTCTGGATGGACTCATCAAGTTGTCTGGCTAGCTCTTGGCTTCTCTACTAAGCTCTTTCATTAGATTCTAGTTGCGTTTGTCACATCATGTTAATCTGTTCTAACACAGCCTTCATAAGTGAGTCACTTGATTAAGCACCATCATCTTCGGAGTCACTATCCTTGTTGAAGGTTGAATTAACAAGGGAGTGTTCCTTAAATGCTGGTAATAGTGGTGGAATGATGGCTCATTCTCTTCCTTTGAATGTGTTGGATTGCTATCACCAAGCCCAATTTGTAAAGTTTAAGCAGCTTTTCTAGTGTTCTTTTTTAGTGGCATAGCTATGCCTCTTCTTGGATAAAAGAAAAGTGGATTTGAAAACTACAAGTGAGACAAGACACGATAAGGTTTCACCAGGTGTGCCACAAAAGGATTACTTCCTTAAAGATCCTCAAGTGGCTTCGCACATGTAAAATCTGGATGCAGGCATACCACTTGCTTTGTTATAAAACAAAACAAAAGGATTTTCCCAACAGCCTTCTCCTTCCTCGCAGTCAACTTTCTTGCGGATGGCTGAAAGAATGTTGGTTTAAAATGAAATCTATGCCTTTAGATGATTTGCAAAAGGGAGAGATGCCTTTTTGTAGAATGGGTTGCTAAATCTGCCTTCGACAACTTCAAAGACTTAAACACTATCATGAATCAAAGTTAATAGACCCTAAATGTACTAAATGGCATGCAAATTAAAATAAATTTGCGAATAAAAGATGTATCCAAATTAAATTAAGCATGTTCATTGTCAAATCCAACTATTATCTACAAACAATCTAAAAATCAAACTACTGCAAAACTAGAGATTTAACCCTAAATAAACATGAACCTAATATCAATAAAGGTTAAAATAAGATGCCAAAAATTAAGAAGTGTGAACGCCATAGAAGCAATCATTTAGAGAAGCACTATTTATTATAAACATTAAACTAATATCAGTTAGAAAAAGAACAGTACCTTGCAGAAATTGAAAAGCTTAATGTTCATTACACAAGGGAAATCGTATAAGCAACTACATGAACTTAATTGGCTATTTGAATGTTGGAATCAACTTAAATCAATTGGGATTTATACTGAAAATCAAAACCTGTAAGCTATGGTGAGCAATCGCAATGAAACTAGATAATTGAAAATTTAACGAGTTATATGTAGGGTTGGCCGTGTGTGGAATGATAAAAAAATTTCCTTTTGTTTGTCTCTTCCTCACTTGCAATTCCCCATTACTAGGTGATTACATGAAAGTGGGTGGTTCCGTAAAGAAGATGGACACCTCAGCAGTTAATTGAGTTAGATTTACACTTAGATTTTGCTATCTGTCCTTGTTATCTACTAGCTCACAACCTTAATTAAAACAAACTCCTAAAAACCAGTTGAAGCAATTCCACCACGACTCAAATGGGTAACTAATGGATAAACCTCATCTTTTCAGCCCCTTCTTTTCTTTTCTTTTTCTTTTTTTATTAGGTGGCATCTGATCTATTGAGAGCCCTAGAACAGCATATCTGATGTGGCTCAATCTCTTACAACCATTTAAAATAAATTGACAGATGGTATAATCTTAAATTTTGTAATTTATGGTGTAAACATATGGATAATTAAAGTTAAGATATAATGATAAAATTAAATTAGAAAAAAAATATTTCTCTCTTAAAATATAAAAAAAGGAGCTATTATTCTTTGATAAATATGAAACTAAAAATATTTATTATTTTGAGACGAAGGAAGCAGCATTTTCCTTTTCTTCCTTTTTTTATGCACTTAGTGTGAGATTTAGGAGAAAAAGTACAAAGTAAAGTACAAATAAAAATATCAACTTTGTATTTTTTTTATTTAAAAATGTTAAATTTACTTGTTTCTAAATAATGATACTAACTTTCAAAATTTTAATTCTAGAATACTAATTTTTAACATTTCAGTTAGAGAATTTGTTTGTCAAGTCAACATCACTATCTAATTAATCTTTAAATAAAAAAATTAAAAAGTGATATTCTTAAATAAAAATATTAAAAATTGATATTTTTAAATAAAAAATTTAAAATTGATATTTTTATTAAATAAAAAATTTAAAATTGATATTTTTATTTAAAAATTAAAAAAATTAATATTTTTAAATAAAAAATAAAAAATTAATATTTTTATTTACGTATTTTCTGTGAATTTTGGTATTGCTTTGTTGGTTTTTAAATTAAATGTATGAGATCCCATTTCTGATATTTGCTCTAAAAAAATAATGAGAATATCTAGAATGAGAAGGAAAATTGGTAAGCAAAACCGTTGTTTAGGCCCAATCTATGGGCAAAACAGTAAAAGCACAACAATAGCGGCAGCATTCCAACAGATCCACGGTCCAATTGACTGTTCAGCCAGGGCCCACACTCTTACTTTTAAATACCAAGGAATCTGCTTTCTCTCTCATTCTGTCTTACAAGTTTCAAATATTTCTTCTTCACCGTCATCATTTCATTCATCGCCATTCTTTACAATTGGAATTCCACCATTTCCGTCTTTTTAGATTTCTGAAACTGAAGAAAATAAACAATCGGATTCTTCAAAAGACGATTCTCAAAAGCGAAGAAGACTCACCTGTTTTTCGGCAGACTCAGGTATGAGTACTAATCATCTGAATATTTTTTTCATTTCTAGTTCTTACTTTGCTTCTGCTACTGTTTCTATTTATTCGATTTTGAATTTTGATCGATACTTCTGCTACTGTTTTTTCATCATGTTTTTTGATTTTTTTGTTTGTGTTTGTGCGATCGTTGGATTCTGTTTGTGTTCTTATTTGATTCGTTTAAAGGTATTTTGTGAATCGAACAATCATGTTTATGAATTTCTCTATTTCTAATCTGACCGATGATTCCATTTCCCAAAAATAGAGAAGGGAAGAAGCTTCTCTCACTTTTTTTTGCAGTTGATTTTGATCAAATAAGAAGCTATCGTTCTATCAGTTGATTTAGCAAAATCGGATTAAGTGCTCTGAACAATTCTTCGGTTTGGTGGAGATTTTTAATTGATTTTGTCTGATAATATGTCTAAAATTACTAAAATTTATTTTCAAAAAAGTGAAGCTGGATATCTATCTTTCCTCTTGCTTGTTGAGTGGTAGGTTTAGAATCCAAAACTTTTATTTGATCTTTATTTTCTAAAAATAAAATCTTAAATAAAAACCGTTCTTAATGACAATAATTGTTGGGCGATCCAAACAAACAAGAAAAAATTGTTGTGATTCTTAATTATAAAATAAAGTAAAATTGTGCTGTATCAGCTTGAAATCAGTTTTAGATCTCAATCCAGTATTGATTTCTACTTTTTTTTTTTTCTTTTTTCTGTTCTGTTCAAAAAAAAATACTTAAGTTGATTAACTTGGGACTTCTCCAAATTAAATTATGATTATTATTATTATTGTTATCATTTAAAACTAAAACTTACTCTATAAGAAATTAGAAAAGTGTTTTTCAAGTGACTTGTGTGGAAAAAATGTGCATGATATTTTAAATATTTTTTTGGAAAAAAGAATACATGAATCTTGATTCTTAAAAATAATTAAAATTTTAATTTTAAATTATATCATTTTATTTAATTAAAATTTAATTTAAAATTTAAAAAATTATCATACTAAATACTAATATATTAAAATATATGATGGACTTCTAATTAAGATATCAACCGATGAGATTTCAATTTTTAAATATGGATTACAATTTTAATTATTTTTTAAAGTTAGGACTAAGGTCAGCTTTTTGTGAGTATTTACAAAATTAATTTAGTTAATATTAGTTTTTTTTCTCACAAATCAACTTAAAAATCTAACATTCTCATAAAAAAATAAATCAGTATTTTCTTTGAGTGTTGATTCTATTAAGAGCAT